TCCACAGTGTTTCTCAGTAGTTGTCACACCACAATCCAGGCAGTCTCTTGTAGCTGTGTTCAAATCTTCTGAGGCCCTGCTGAGTAAACTGTTAGGCTCTGGGAGGTTCTGTCTGTCATAAACTTAAGTGTATTAATAATTATCTTCTGAAAAGATTGTGGGCTAAATAGATTGGTCATATCTGAATAGAGCACACCATAATTTAATGACAATAGCAAAAATTATTTACCAAGGCAGGATAGGAATGAACATCCCAATTGTTAAGTAACTTTGACATGATTTTAGTATAAAAACCACACTTTGCATTAGCAGAGAAACATTTTGCTTAGAGTTGATGTAGAAGACCAGAATGTAAAGGAATAAGAAAGCTGGCAGAGGTGGCATAAAATCATGGTGACAGAGAGTGAGTTTGTCCAGGTGGGTTCAGGTCTGTGACATAAACTGAGCTGGCAGGCAAGCTATGGGAACAGGCCAGTCTGTGGAGCAAGAGACAGGCATGCGTGCTGCGACCATATGGACCTTTACTCTGACCCGTGGTGGGAGGGGGCTTACCAATTCTCCAAAGTTTGGGCTACCGTGTATTGGATCTCCATGTAGTAGCAGGCGGGGTATAAAACTGAGGAGTTTCTAAATCCAAGTCTCTGCACCACATGAAGTGTTTATAAAAAGATAAAGGGTGGAGGAATATGTTTTGGTGGAGATGTAGTCAGGTATGTGGGAAGGGGGTGCCTCTGCAGGTCCATGCTGAGGTGTCCCTTCCCTGTGAGCATCCAGCCACACAATAATATAGTACAGAATAGAGTTTATTCAGGGCATGGGAGAGGAGGTAAGAGGATATTAGAGGCAGGGAGGGACGGGAGACAGAGAGAGAGAGAAGGAGAGAGGGGGGAGGGAGGAAGGAAGGGAGGGAGAGAGAGAGAGAGAGAGAGAGAGAGAGAGAGGGGAAAAAAGGCCAGCCATGAGGAGCACATGGAGAGGGTAGAAGGGAATAGAGGAGAGAGAGAGGGCAAGGGGCAAGACAACAGAGGGAGCAAGAAGGCAATAGCAAGAGAGAATGGAGGGGCGTGAAGCCCCTTTTATAGTGAGTCAGGCATACCTGGCTGTTGTCAGATAGCTGTGGGAGCTTAGACAAAATGCTAACAATGGGTATGGGGGAGTGCTGGGGACTAATCCAAAGCAGGGCTGTTTGGAAAGCCATATGAAAGTGTACAGTCTCACAATTCAGCTAACAATATAACTGCAGGGATAGTAAAAAAAAAAAAAAGTGATGTTAGAAAAAAATGAGGAATTCAGGGCTGAGGGCTGTGTGGGCTGGGGAAGAGTGAAGGGAAAGGGTGGGTGAACCAAAACTGAGGATATGTGAAAATGTCTATGAAAAGCCAATGCTTAATAAGCTAATTTCTCACAGCCAACCATTGGAATGAACATGGGGTTCCCAATGGAGGAGTTAGAAAAAGGACTGAACGAGCTGAAGGGGTTTGCAACCCCATAAGAAGAACAATATCAACCAGTCAGATGCCCCAGAGCTCCCAGGGACTAAACCACCAACCAAGGAGTACACATGGAGGGACCCATGGCTCCAGCCATATATGTAGCAGAGGATGGTCTTGTTGAGCATAATGTGTGTATATTTTGTATAGTGCGTGTGTGTGTCTGCACTGTAGAATTGCCAATGTGGACAGATCTTAGGTAGAGAAAAATGGCATCTCTTCTGAATATCGTCCTGGAACTGTGTTTCTATGGTGAAGACTCATAGTTGACACTGTATAATAAATGAATCGAAATGAATCACAAATACAAACATGAAGGCTAAAAACTTAAATCTAGTTGAAGGAAAAAATCTTTGTGAATCAGAACAAGTCTCAGGCAATGAATTTTGCTTATAATATCAAAAGCTTTACCTACACACCAGAAAAATTAGTTTCAGTGTAATGACACCTTTTGGCTCTGGTTCCTTTAAAACGGTTAAGAAGATAAACAATGGACCAGAAGGTCTTTTTTTTCTTCTCTTACTCACACGAATTTGCACCTAAAATGTACTGAGAGCTTTAAAACACATTGGTAAGCATGGAGGAAATGGCTCAGAGTTAAGAGCAGTTGTTATTGTTCCAGAATTAATTGTGAATATGTTTTATTGGGACTGCAGTTGTTTGCTTGACAGTTCTGTGAGAGGTGCTATCTTTACACATGAGTTTCCATTTGACAATTGCTAGAGTTTAAACATGCAAATTATTTCATGCATTGACATTGTTTCCTGCAGTATTGTAAAGTCATTCGTTACTTTTATAGCCAATTAATAGACGATTTAGAACTCTATTTGTAGATATATCCATGTTGTCTGACTAGTAATACTTTTATCTCTGTGCCTCTACTCTTATTTCTTGCCCTATTGTCCTGGCTAGGACCCCTAGAGTCACACTAGAATAGTGAGCAGACATTCTTGCCTTGCTCTTTGTCAGTGGGAGTGGGGGTGGGGATCATTCCTGATGGCTGTAGTTGTATTTTTCTTTTTGGTTATTGTAGCTGTACCCAATTAATCACTATTCAAATTGATCCTGGCAGTGGCATTGCTTCTTGCTATCTGTCCCAAAGTTTGGTGTTCCAGAATCAGACACATACACATAGTGTTTATATTTTTATATGCCTTAAACAGCTCAATGGCTGGGTCACTTCCTAACCTCCACCTGGCTAATCCACCTCCTCCAAGTTATTGGAGTATGCTACCCTGGCTCCTATATGGCAGCTATGTTCTCTGTCCTTTCTGTTCTGCACCTCTCAGGCACGGCACCTTGGCTCTCCTCCTGCCAGCATGGAGGACCTCTTTCTTCCTCCTCCTCCCTCTCTCCTTTGCCTGGGAATCCTAATAGTTGGGCCTCTGTTTGCTCTGCCCAGCCATTGGCTGTCAGCATCTATATTTACCAATCAGATCTAACTAGGGGTAGGACACCTCAGACTCATGTGTAGGACACTGCAAACAGGTTTTTTTTTGGAACATAATTAGCATGAGAATACAAGCAGCTATAGTTTACTACACATATCTCTTGTCAGTTTGAGGACGTTCCTCAAATCCTAATGTGCTGAGTTATTACTGTGGATTTACATTGAATTTTGTATATCTTTTTTGCTGAATTTACTGAAATGGTTCCTTTTTATTTTCTTATTTTGTTACTATGTTGAATTACATTTTGTTAGTTCATTAGAGTTTTAGATAGATGATAGAAAAGTAGATAGATAGATAGATAGATAGATAGAAGAGAGTCTGACATAATCTCAGCCTCAAATTCAATATTTAGGCAAGACTGTCCTTGAACTCATGACTCTATGGCCTGCACCTCCCATGAGCTAGAATTGTAGCTCTGTGCTGCCACACCTGGCACATTAATTTGCTCTTCTTTTTATTATTCATGTGGTCCTCTTTGTGTTAACCAAGTTTATTCTGATGACACCAATCCTATGAGTAGCTCTCTGTTGTATCTTTTGTTAAATGATCCTCACTACTTCTGCTCATTGCTTTTTTAATGGCCCTTAGCTTAATAACTGGAATATTCTATGCCAAAAATTCTGTTTCTCTTCAGTGTGTTCTCTTGAGAACCAAGAACATCATTTATAGATTGAGACATTCTGTGAAGGCCTTTGCACTAAGAAAGTATAAGTAAAATCTACAGATGACTGCCGGGGTACAGCCCATGCAGGGGATCTTTCTTGTCTGTTCTTCTTGAGGCAGTGGAGGGTGAAGTGTGTGGTAAGAGGGTACGACTTTGTCTTAGGAGATATTTAAGGTTGCTGTATAATAATAAAAAGTTTACTTATCTAAGATAATATGCTAGTACTGTAGCTGACCTGCCTTATGTGATCCTGTGAGGCCAGAAACTGCAGTTTCTTGCACTTAGCAAACCTCATCCTAAAAACAGCAAGGATTAAGTAAATAGTCTTTGTTCTATCTCAGCAGGAACTGCAGGGCTCTTAACTTTGAGCCTGTGAGTCGCAGGAGGAAAATGGGACACTTACAGAAGTGGTTATAGAGTGGAAGCTATCTAAGGGGAAAATCAGAAAGATCCTAAGTGGGGGAAAGGAAAAAATTCTAGTAAGGGAAAAATTCTTCTAAAGGAAAAAATTTCTACTCTACCTGCCTCTCATCTGTTTGTCCTCAATAGTTATACATCTTTCAGAATACATGATCACATGTTACAAAGTTCATCACAAGTTCATACAAAAAATCAAATCGTAAATTGAAACAGAAGTTTACAACAGAGAATGTTTACATACATATCCATTAGGAATAAATTATCTGGCTAATATCCATCATCTCTCTCAGCTCCACAGATTCACTGAAGGTTTAAAACTATAAGTTATTAGTGAAGTTTTGTATAGATAAACCTAGTCACTAATTTAACTTCTGTCCTAGCACCTGTAGTAAATCATTAGTTCTCTTTTTATGACCTTTAATTAATTGTTTTACAACCTCTTGGCATGTGTTCTGAGTAGGAGAAAATCTGGTTACTATCTAAGGGCAATCAACTGGTGACACGTGGGAGACTGGCAGAGTTCTCATTGCAGTTTTGACTATCAGAAAAGGACCTAATAGCAGTCCCACTTTAAAAGAGCTTAATAATCATTGATATAATTTTAGGAATTCTTATAGGATCATCATTAAGACTTAAGAAATCTACTTGTCTACATAGCATCACTATAAGATACATCTTCGTGTATCTGCAGAAAGAGATCTGTTCGAAAGGGGTGTGCTATTACTTAGTGATTGTTATATATGTTTAATAGTAACAGGAAAAGCATATTAATAGCAGGAATCTTTCCTAAAATGAATCACATACAGCCTTGCTTAATAAGGACAACCCTGTCACAGATTATATAATAATCCAAAGGAAGCCATCTCAGGATGATCACCTGCTAGTTATTAGCTTATGGTTCCTGAGAGATGGCTATAGGGTAAACTTATCTCTTTCTCTAAAAGATTTTTGAGATTGATGTTCTCATATTTACAGTTATTTTAGGTAAAAAGCTCCAAGAAAAACTTCCAAAAATCGTCTCCCCTGAGTCTCCTGCTAAGCTTTACTGCTGCTATGGAGTGATCACAGTCCTCACTGCAGCTGTAGTTGTTCTTTCTGTTGCTTTGTCAGGTAAGTGACTTACTCTCCAAATTCTGTGGCATTCTGTCCACTGTCAGTTATACTTACTGACAGTTATAATTCGAGCCAGGCATTGTGGGAAGGGCTGTAGAGAAAACCTACCAGAAATTCCTGTTCTCTGGAAACTTAGGTTCCAGCAGGAAGATGCAGTGAAGGAACACACAAACTATAGTGTGCACAGGAGGCCAGGCTCAGCATCCTTGGAAAGATGACATCCAGCAAGCCCTAGACAGAGATACAGGGGACATAGTTCCACTTGGGGGAACTGTCCAAGGCAGAGAACAAGGAGAACTCCAAGGAGGAACCTCTAGCAAGTGTGAGGACAGAGAAGAGTAATATGGCCAGGAAGGTACATTGCCTCCCCCATAACCCATGTTATTAGTTACTGGGCTCAACTGTTTTTTGAAAGTATTAAGTGGAAAGTTCCTGAAGTAATGAATTTATAGGATTTTCATACCACACTGTTCACACTAGGGTAATACAATCTTGCAATTGTCCTCTTAAGTATGTGAATCATGCTTTAGTGCAATGTGTCCACACTATATACTCTACCTACCCAATAGTTCTCACTTCTATCTCAGTTATCAGGCTGGCTGTCAATAGGTGTCTATACAGAGTACAGTGATTGCTGCTATAGCAATCCCTACTGTAGTAAACAGTCCTCAAAAGCACAGAAATGATGCTAGTATAGAAATGCACTTCCTGGGATCCCTACTGTCAGTGAGCACCTGAGAGAGAATGACACATAGGCCCAAGGTGGGAGGCCTTTAGATAAAGCCCCTTCATGCTCAGGAGAGGATTCCTACAGATCACTTAGGAAAGCTACAGTCAGATTCACACCTCACAGCTGAGCTCAGGAGGATATTCCAAAAAGAGCCAAATCATTTGTGTTATGATTCATTGTATTGTCTACATTTTAGTAAGAAATACAGAACAGATCTCAATCAAAAATATCTATGCTACTTGCCCAAGAAACTGGATTGGATTTGGAAATAAATGTTTTTACTTTTCTGAATATGCAAGTAACTGGACATTCAGCCAGGCCTTCTGCATGGCACAAGGGGCCCAACTAGCTCGAATTGACAACCAGGAGGAGCTGGTAAGAAATGGGCAGGGATTGGTTTGTCTGTTTGGTCTGTTGAATATTGTATTGCCTTGAGATAGAGAGTTACAGATAAAGCATGAGGAAGGATCCCATCCCAAGCACATGGAGACATGGGAATGTGTGAGTGTGTGCCATTTGCTGATGCTTCACTTCTGACTGGAGCCCTGTGACATTCAAGAAATATTCTCTAAGGACATGCTCATAGTCAGCTGGAAGGTCAGATATGCCATTTTACTTGGATATCTGGTGATCATGAGCGTTTTCATGTAAGATGGCATTTGTTGCATACAGAAGGAGACAACTAAGAACTGCAATTGGAGGTTAACCCAGAACTAACCAGGCCACAGAGGAATGTGTCATTACATTTGGTACTTTCATTCAAATGAGGTACTTTAGAATTACAGATGTCAAGTGGATCCATTGAGAACTGGTGACTAGTACAGTTCCAAAGTCTGTGAGCCTCAGTTCCACTCTCCTGTTATCTCTAGAGGAAGCTGTGGAGTGGAGAGACTCCAGGTTCATCTGAAATAGAGACAAAAATGTTCACTTTCTGTGTTGACAGACTTTTCTGGGGAGATATACATGGTCTTCTAGCCACTGGATTGGCCTGCACAGAGACTCATCAGAGCATACTTGGAGGTGGACAGACGGCACCAAGTATATGTATTTGTATGTTTTTCAGAATATTTTCCTTCTAACGTGTTCATGTATTGTGATATGTATGAGTTGTGGCTATGAGTGTTGAAAGTCTGTTTCATGTGAAGCCAACTGTACTGGGAAGGAAGAAAAATAAATCCTTGGGCTGGAGGTGTGCCCTGGGCATAGGTTATGTGCCTCATGATACAGCCAGTCCCCTGCAAACTCCACATCCTGATAAACTTAAATTAATTGGATACTCTCCCTTTCATTAGCCATCTTCAAAGCATTTCCATGGTGTTATTTCATGCCAAATATTTAGTATGATGGTGGCATCTAGTGTAGATTTTATCTGCTGTCACCACTTGAAAATCTTTCCTTGGTGATAATTGTACTTGTGGTGATGTAGACAGAACTGCCGATGGCCAAGGCTCTAAAACCATAGGAAGCTACTTCAGAACTGCAAGCCTGAGAATTATCAGTTCTCTGTTTGAATGGTTGTACCTGTTCACAGAAACAGAGAGTCTAGGGGCAGTGAGAGTCTACCCTAAGGTCTTGTCATCAAAGATCACTGGGGACAGCTCTTGAATGTGAGTGTAGCCATTTTGAACAGAGCCGTTTCACTGGAAGGGTAAAACACAGAACCTTTCAGGTCCATAATTAAAGACCTTTCAGCAATTTACTAAGTTGTGTTTTCTTCCACTTTCATACATGTGTGAAATACTTCAAGTGAACTTTGAAAACCACCCATGTGAGGCTACCCACTGCTGCAGTTCATCTGAACATGGCAGCAACCATTGTGCACACATTCCAGGGTTCATCATGCATATGTGATAGAGGTGTGGTGATTAACTTAAACCCTGAGAATGTAAAAGTCCCTAGGTGCAAAATTAGTGCATGGGATTTCAGTGGACTCTGTTTCTGATTCATATCATAAATAAGTGGTGAAGATGAATGAGATATGATTGCAAGAGTGAATTCAATGGCAGACTCTGCATAAATCTTTTTTTTTTTTTTTTTTGCTTTAGGGTTCTCATCCGAGGAGAAGAAAATTGTGGCTTCTTGAGTGACAGGGGGCTCAGCAGTAGCAGGGACTACATAAACAGGAAGTGGATTTGTAGCAAGTCCAGCAGCTACACCTTACTGTGCCAGTAGTTTTGTATCCTGGGTAGAGAGTACATCGTAGTAATCATAAAGAACAAAACATATTACCCACTGTTTCTGCCTCATTAAACATCTGCTAAAATCATTATAACGATTAGTTCATTATGTGTGGTGACATCAAAGATGACAATTCTCTGAGGACTATTCATATGTGTGCTTGGGAGATCATAAATGGTTCTAAATTAAATAGGTATTCAGGTATGAGCTGGTACTCACATCTTAAACATAAACTGTAGGAAGCCACTACCGCCGTAGTGCCGGTGGTAGATCAATTGCCATTACAAGATGGCGCTGACATCCGCTGCCCATCCCGATAAACAAGCTGTTGCGCATGTGCAGGAAGTGAGCGCGCACCAAGTCACAGCCCATCCCGGGGCGTTTTGGCGAGTAACGAGTAAGCAGCCGATCAGATATGAACACGCCGCTCCAGGAGTATATAAGCGGTGCCTTTTCGGGGCCGGGGTCTTCCTCCATTCATCGCAATAAAAGGTTGCTGCAGAAGGACCCTGGTGCCCGCGTGCGTTCTTGCTGGTGAGACAATTACACGCGGGTCACAGCTGGTGCCGAAACCCGGGATCGAACCAGGGACCTTTAGAACATGCTGCTCCAGGGGTATATAAGCGGTGCCTTTTCGGGGCCAGGGTCTTCCTCCTTTCATCACAATAAACGGTTTGCTGCAGAAGGATCCTGGTGCCCGCGTGTGTTCTTGCTGGCAAGACAATTGCACGGGTCACAGCAAACTAAATCATATCAGTATTAGTAACCTCTACGTTTTTTCTTGTTTCTTAATTTTATTTATTTACATTCCAAATGTTGCCTCCTCTTGGTTCCCCCTTCCAGAGTTCTTCACCCCATACCTCCTCCTGTTACTTCGGAGGTGGTTCTCCCCCACCCTACTCAGCCATCCTCCTACCCATCCCTACCCTTCCCTAGGGCATCAGGTCTCTACAGGATTAGGTGCGTTCTCTTCAGTGAGGCCATGCAAGGCAGTCCTCTGCTACATATGTCCTGGGGGTCATGGACCAGCTCATGTATCCTCTTTGGTTGGTTGCTTAGTCTCTGGGAGCTCCTAGAGGTCCAGGTTAGTTGACACTGTTGGTTTTCCTATGGAGTTTCCACCCCCTTCATTTCTTTTAATCCTTCCCCAACCCCTCCATCGGTGTCCTTGTCTTCACTCCAATGGTTGGCTGTGAGTATCTGCATCTGTCTCAGTCAGCTGCTGGCAGAGTTTCTCAGAGGATGCATCAGGCTGGCTGGTATGAAGTTGAACAGTCCTCTGAGGGGGGAATTAGGATGATTATAGGAAAGGTAGAAAGAAGATGCAAGAGATAGATAATAGGAGGGCTGCAGTTCAATACCACACCAGCCCTGAGTGTATTTCTCATAGGCTTCTTATACTGAAGTACTATGGGAAGCAAAGCCACAGGCTAACAAAAACAATTTTGTTGAAATATATTCAAGAAATTAGTTTTAACTAAAAATATTATTATTGTTATTGTTATTATTATTATTATCTTTCCCAAAGTCAATAGAATCTTTAGCTCTTAGTCTTGGGCCTCGAGTGTACTTCTTATCATTTTTATGCTTCAGCAGGCCAGGAAATCTGCCAACAGGGCCTCTTGACTCTGCCTGACAGGCAGACTTTCTCTTTTTTTCTGCTTCATAGAAGTGGCAAATGGCTCCAGACTTCTCCCACTTTTTATTTAATACAAGTTAAAGGTTTCTTAGCTATTGGAGCAGAAAGACTGTGTCTATCTTAGGTGTTCCCTTGAGAAATGTGGACCTTACCCAACATTGGTACATGAATCTTTCTATTTCTGTCTTGTCTTAGGTTGATCTACATTTGAGAGAATCTTATATGTCTTTGACTACTAGTCTCTGTAATGGGAGGTGTAACCTATTAGGTTACTGTTTTGAGCCATATATAATGGAGATCTGTATAGATGTTTAAAAATGAACAGAGGGCAAACTTAAGTGGTAATAATCATAATCTTATAAGTATTCAAGGCAAGTACTGAAAAGGCCAAGTGAGTCAATTAAGACTAGGAAGGCAAGCTCTTAAAAGTTTTAATCATTTAGAGACAGCTTTTGCAGCATCAAACTGTTGGGGTTAGCATCTCTCAGACAAATCATTGAGTTTATTTAAAGCTTTTTAAATTTTATCTAACATTTGTAAGCCTTTATCTGTATATTAAGGTTCTGAAACATAAACTAGAAGCATAACAAATGAAGGTTGATGAAATATCATAATAGAAATCTCTTGTACAATGTATCTTGTACAAGATATATAATTAGTTAGCTTATATTCATAGTGAGTTATGCTGAATCTGGACTCATATAATTACTAACATAGAACCATTTATTTGTCCAATCAATCATCAACACATGAAGCAAGGTTATACAAGTCATTATAAAACCTGACAAGACACATGGGGTGGTTTTTAGAGTGTATCCAGGGTTCTCCCCTCCCCCAACCCCCTGCCCACTGTCCTGCATCATATTATCCTGTAGAGCTAGATAATGGATGTTGAATCTCTCTTTTTTTTCTGCTTCCTGTTGACATTAGAATGCTGCAAAGTGTCCCAGGAAGGCTGAAATGGCAGTCAAAGGCTGGGCAATGGGGCATTTATCAAAAGCATCTGATCAGCTAATCCAGATGAAAGACAGGGAACAATCACATTGGCCAACCTAGTTAGTATCAGCCTTCAGCAAGTCCAGAGTTGAGCAGCTCTACAGGGTGATCCCTGGATGGAGTCTGTCAGCCAGGTGAAAATCCGCTGAGACCAGTGTAGACGGAACAGAAATTAAAATTGTCTAGTAATTGTGGAAGGTAAGAAATCCCAAGAGCAAGGGAAAATTCTATTTTAAAGAAAAGGCAGGCATACTTATCTGGAGTCCACTTATCTGTGACATACTTATCTGGAGTCCACTTATCTGTGACAGGCGGGTCTAAGTCTTAGGACTCTTGAATCTCTGAAGCTTCTGTGAACTTTCATTTATAAAATATGTGTAATAGTATTTACATTGTATTGAAATCTATGTTTTAGGAAAAGTAGTTAACAGGTGTCTGTTATAAAAGCTATAGGTTTACATCTGTAGATATTTAGATTGAACAGAAATGTTTTTAGCATGATGAGAAGTATCTTTAAGTTTACATTCAGAAAACAACTAAAGGGAAATGAAAATTTTGAGCTTACAACTGAATTGTAAACTGTCAATGTTTCATTAACGTTTCAGAGCTTTATTGATCAATGTTAAAAATCTGAACTTTGAAATAACAGAAGTATGTGGGGGGAGTATAAAACATCTCTCATTTCTTCCTTTTTTAAATATCATTTCTTACATCTCTACAACTTGCATTTATATGTAGCAGGAATTTCCATGCCCAATCTATTTTAAATATTAATGCGTCAGGAGGCCTATGATTGATTGGACAGGGAAAAGGGAGGCAGAGTAAAGGGGGGAGGGAGGGAAAGAGCGAGACATATGCAGGAAGGGAGGGGAGAGAGAGGGAACAGAAGATTGAAGCTGACCTTAACCAGCATGGCTTTAACCAGCCTTAGGGAGAAAAGATATGAAAAGGTTAGGATATTTGGGACATACTGTCTAATCTGTGTTGGAATCTTACCATCATCAATGGGCTTTGAAATTATTATGTGGCCATTCTGGGATTTGAGTATTTGATGATATATAAATCTGACTGGTTAACTATAAGCATTAAGAGTTTTAATTTCACTGGGAGATGGGTGTTGTGGAGCTGATCTTGGGGTGGATGATGGCATGGGGCTAGTGTGGTCTTGAGGAGAGCTCTGGAGCTTTGGCCTACCAGAGAGCCTGTCAAGATGAGAACACCCAGCTGGCACCAGGTGACCCGCTAGTGCCGCCATTAGTTCAGGAACATAGAGCCTACAGCCTGGTGGTCGACTTTTATAATATCTCCTGCAACATTTATATACCTAAAATACCTTCTTAGCACCTCCAACATTTATTACTTGTATTTACCAGCTTCTGTTAGGGAAGACATTGGAACTTGAATTTATGTAACTCTGTTTTGATATCAGTAAAGCTCTGATGATTCCTCTCAAAAAATAGTTGATAGACATGTCATACAAAGAATCATAAAGCTAAGTCCTGCTAAGCTCAGTGTGGGGCTTGAACCTACAACCCTGAGATTAAGAATCTCATGCTCTACCAACTGAGTTAGCTGAGCTCTTTTAGCATCTTGTGGAAAAACACAAACATGTTTTCTTCCCCATATTAATACCAGATCAGTATCATGTCATACGCCAATGAGTGAGTGGATCCTTTCCTTTCACCTGGGCATAACTATGACTACATGGAGGTTGCTATAAACGCTTAGCAGCAGAGATTCACTTGGCATCCGATATTAAAAAATTTAAAATAAATGTGAAGGAGTATAAAACTTCTCCCTTTTTATTTTAAGCAACTGATTTCATGGGCTTGTTTCATAATTCTCTGTGCTTGAGGACATGTAAATTATGTATTTTATGTAGATTATAGCTCATATTTTATAGATCTAACTTATATTTAATTTATATTTTAACACATAATTTATATTTAATGTATATAATTTTTGCTTAAGTATTCCATTGACATTTAATGAATATAATTTTATTTACTGTACATAATGTATATACTAATGTATATAAATCATAGTTAGTATATATAATTTATATTAAATGTGTATCATCTATATTCATCTCATATAATTTATATTTAACATATAATTTAGTTTTAATATGGATAGTTTATATATACATATATATGTGAATATGTATGTAGTTATTAAGATGGGTTATGTTCTGAGGACATTTAAATAAAGCATACATTTTATAAACATGTTTTAATGTACATAATTTCTGACTTGTATGATATATGTTAATTTATATAATTTATATTTGGGGTTACTTGCATGAAAATCAAGATTCCTAACTGCTTGCTCATGCCAGAGCTAAGATGTCTGCAGGGCTGTCTGCTGCAGAGCTCAAGAATGGGAGTTCTGCATGGCTCATCCACCTTCATCCTGCTGCCGCTGCCTGAGTCTCCACTCCCCTGGGGTTCAGTA